GACTTAAATTAGAATTAGAATTTGAGTCAAAATTGGACTACAGGATAAATGATGATTTTCTCTTCCTTTCCTATCTGATATTGGCGCCACACAGGGATGAGCATCCCCTTAGAATGGCCGGCCATATAGAATAGAGGAAAAGAGGAGATTTTGTTTAAAATTCAAATAGGAGATAATTAACAAGCTTTATCTTAGAGATAGAGATTGGATTCCTTCTAGAAGTTTGACTTCTACTCTATAAATACTATTTTTGAGACAATTTTCGGAATGGTTTTTTGCCCTAATTTTAGAGGTAGCCGAAATTTTTCAAAAAAATTTTGGAAACAATTTTTCTGCCATAAGAGTTAAGGCTGGCCGAAATTCTCAAGAGAGAAAGGAAGGAAAAATTCTTCAAAAATTCCACATCGTGCATGCGTTGGTGTTTGTAGAAATTCGAGTGTTTATTTTAACCCGTTTTGTCTCATGTGTGCCCACACACACGTTTTTGTGGATTCTAGGAATTGACGTGGAAGACATTGGTTTTCTAAACACAAAGATTGGAGCAAGGACTGTTCGTGATCAAAGAACTCAAGTTATCATCCGAGTCGGCTTCCAGGTATTTTTCTTGATTGAGTTCTTGATATAAATGAATTAATGAGATTAATTTATTCATGCATAAATTAATATAATCTATAGAGTAGCTCAAAAGTTTTATGAAAATTTTTGTTATACACGATCCGCCTCTTCCCCTTTCCCCACGCTTCCGCATCCGAATTTGATTCGGAGACCAACACTTGAGGCTGTCCTCTTCCCTTAATTGATAAACTCCAACTGGTCAGGACCTATTGGTGCTCTTAGTAGCACTCGGTCCAGTTCAAGTATGAGCTTTCTCAGCTAACTCATTCAGGTACTCGATAGCTTCGTCAGGATCCTTTTGGAGAAAATCCCCATTGCACATCATTTCGACAAATTGGCACTCTCGGATTGTGAGTCCATCGTAGAAATAGCTTACGAGGTGCCAACTTTCATATCCATGGTGGGGACACAGATTTAACAGATCTTTAAAATGATCCCAAGCTTGATAGAGAGTTTCGTTTTCTTTTTTAACGAAATTCGAGATCTGTCGTTTCAAATTATTAGTCTTATGGTGTGGGAAATACTTGTTGAAAAATGTCATCGTCATTTCTTCCCACGTACCAATAGACTTCGGCCTAAGAGAATACAACCAGCTTTTGGCCTTGTCCTTTAGAGAGAAAGGGAAAAACTTCAATCTGACGGTGTTTGTGGCCTTAGCATGGCTGTGAAAGGTGGCCACCACCTCTTCAAACTCCCGGATGTGTACATAGGGGTTCTCATTCTCTAACCCGTGAAAGGTTAGAAGAAGTGCAATCATGCCCGGCTTGAAATCTGTAGGCGGTACATTTGGCGGGAACATGATGCACGATGGGGTGGCCGTGCGCGTTGGGTGCAGATAATCTTGCAACGTCCTCTGCTGAACTTCCTCATGTTGTGCCATTGCGAATATATTTTCAAATACTAATTCCAACGACGAGTGTGAAGACGGAGGCGTAGAAGACGAGTCGGATAGAATTTCACTAGGGGTTTCTAAGTTCGGACGTTGAGCAAATCTCCCTAGTTCGTCTCTATATCGATGCATTCACCCAAAGCGGTTTTTTTTTATTTTTAATTTTTTTGTTTTTTTTAATTTTTAATCAAAAAGAAAATAATTATATAGTAACGTAAATTGTAACCACCGAGAGTGCTCCCAGGAAAGACTATAGCTCTTGGCTCAATGAATAGTCTCCTAGACAGAGCAATATTCTCAGGAAAGATTGGTGGGGCGAGGCCCACTTAAGTACCAACTTTTCTAGACAGAATTCTCTCAGATTATACTTTCCACATAACCACACAATTATTCTCAAAATTAATTATTAAATTTTATTGAGTAAATTATGAAATGTAATCTAATTAATGGAAACTATTCCTAAAGTCAAAAGCCTAAATCTACCAAATTATGAAATTCCTAGATTAAGAATAGTCAATTAATTACAATACTAGTTATAATCCTAAGAATTAATGAAACTATAAAAGGAAAAATTAAATTAGGTAACAATTAAAATATACAAATGAGGAAATAAAATAAAATCCTAATTTACCAAAATTAAAACATTACAAAGTCAAATCACAATCAATTTTAAAACTAAAAAAAAAAAAATTAACATTAAAGCAAGTCCTAAATTCTCTTTCACAACTAAGGAAACTAAATAAAAAGAATTGGAATGAAAAGAGATTTTTTTAAATATATTTATATATATATATACGGAAACAAAGAGAAAGGAAAACGGCAATGATCAGTGACTCAAAAAAAAAAAAAATTTTGTTTTTTTTTTTTTTAAATAAGAAACGAGAAAGAGAGGAAGAAAAGAAAATAAATAAAAATAAAAAATAAAAAATGTATAATGTAACGTAACAGAGAACAACAAACAAAAGTTTTTTTTTTAATAGTGGCTAAAAACAGATCACGCAAATCAAGAAATAAAAACTGAGTAAAATAAAAATAAAAAGAAAATGCACTTACCTCTTTGGCTAAAAAATTTATTGATCAGTCTTGCTAGTAGCACCTCCTCCCCGGCAACGGCGCCAAAATTTGATTAACGCCTAAAAGTGATATTCACAAGCGGTCAATTGTAGCACAGAAGGGCGGTCGTATCCACAGAGAGATAACAAAATAACAAGAAAGACTAACAGAATAAGAGCGTTAGAGAAAAGTGAATTAAAGAAAAAGAAGAGTTTTTGAGATTTTTGTTGCAAATAAAAAGTAGAGAAGATTTGTGTGGAAGAAATTTAATAACAAAAATGGTAAGGTGTCGAGAATCCCTAATGCTTCGTTCACCAATTCAAGTTTTGATTCACAAAATAAAAGGACCGAATAAATTAAATCTCTATGTTGACTCCAAAAATATTATTATTACAAGTTATCCAAAATCAACAATATATCAATTTGACAATATTACAGTAAAAGACAATTTGTAAAATAATTTAAATAATAAAACAATGCGTGACATAATTACATAAGAAAAGCGTGACTGAACTCATATAAAAATTAGCACACAATATTTTGAAAAGTAATACAAAAATAGATGAGATTTAATTCATTCAGATGTTGAACTTTACAGTAAAAAGAATCAAAACCCCGAATTGGGTCGCTCAATAGAAGTTCATCTCTAACCTCACCAAGAGAACTCTAGCCTAGCTTGCAAAGCATTCTCACAAGTTCTAGAGAAAAAATATGAGACTGACAGCAAGACGACAGAAAACTGAATATTAAAAACTTTCTAAAACCTTAGGCCAACCCCTCTATTTATAGTGTTCAGAGGTTGCTTGTCAAATAAGGAAATAAATAGTAAAACT